TAAAGCCACCTGAAGACGACCTTTTAAGATTTGATTTCTTTCTCTTTACTGACACTCGGGATCATTGTTAGGTGGGAGGTCATATCAGGCAGCTGGAGTCCCCAGTGTGGTGAGTTTAGTTGGCAGGCCCGAGATTTCTCCTGCGTTCATGGGAAATTGACATGTATGTTTTATTTCCCCAGGATCAGCGAGAATGTGTGTCCAGACAGGAATACAGGAAGTATGGAGGGGCCAAGCTAAACCGGCTAAACCCGGGGAACTACACAGCCCGGATTCAGGCTACATCTCTCTCTGGGAATGGGTCGTGGACAGATCCTGTGTTCTTCTATGTCCAGGCCAAAAGTAAGGCTTGTGGAGGGAGAAGAAATGTGTAAAACTGAAAGCAGGGTGGTCCAGGATTAGGACAGCCTGAGTGTTTATGGCCCTCTTATTTTCTGTTAAAATAGAGTTGGCCAGCTTTCAGAAGGGTCATGCTAAGGTGCCGGCACATACCAGCACTTTGTGTGGAAGCTTGGGTGGGGCAGATGCTGAGCTTTGGGCCCCTACCTCATGTGGCAGGAAGGGAGAGGAACTGAGCCTCTCTTTTGAGGTGGTGCAACCACTGGAGAGCCAGAGGAGACTGTTGCTTTCGACCTGGCTTATATTCAAAGACCCTTCTTTTTCTTTCTTTCTTTCTTTTTTAACAAAAGACATTTTATAAAGCATTGAATTGACCATTCCACCTCCTACTTGGTCAGTAAAACTAGATAGGGCTCAGATTCAGGGCTTGAAGTCCTAAGGGGTGAAAGGAACTCCAGAGGTCATCTGGTTCAGCCTGCTACAGGGCAGGAATTTCCATGGTAGCATCCCAGACCCTCCAGTGCCCTTTTAAAGCTCCCATATGCCTTGGAAATGTACGGTGCTCACCCTTTGGTACAGAGACTGAGGAATGTGAGCTTATGCTCAAGTCATTAACAAGAGAATTCTTAGGCTGTTCTGTGTGATGACTTCAGATTTTAAAACAAATTATAGGATGTGTAAGTACAACAAGAGCCACATATTTGTTGTTTGACCAACAAAATTTAATATTTTGGTGAAATTATTTCTGTGTTGAGTTTCTGTTATTTCTTATTAGAAACCCAGTTTTTAAGATTATTTCATGTTCATGGAATGGAATCAAATTTGGCATAACACATAAAATAGCAATGCAGCCTTGCTTAGTGGTAACACTCTTGGGTCTAGTGGGCTGATCTTTCCTGGTGTCCACATTTCCGCTATGCGGATCTGGAGTTACGTTAAAACATGCACTCGGCCCGGCGCGGTGGCTCACGCCCGTAATCCCAGCACTTCAGGAGGCCAAGGCGGGCGGATCACTTAAGGTCAGGAGTTTGAGACTAGCCTGGCCAACATAGTGAAACCCCATTTCTACTGAAAATACAAAAATTAGTTGGGGGCGGTGGTGCAAGCCTGTAATCCCAGCTACTTGGGAGGCTGAGGCAGGAGAATCTCTTGAACCCAGGAGGCTGAGGTTGCAGTGAGCCGAGATCATGCCACTGTACTCCAGCCTGGGCAACAGAGCA